CTAATTATGCCCCAGAATTCATTAATGTTATAATTCTTTAGAATGGTCAGATATGTGTTTAATAATGTTTTAATAATGGATTAAGAGCATGTTAGATGTTAAACAATTGATAAAGTACCGCTGAACATAAGTAATGTGTCGTAAAGGTAGCAAATATAAAAGAAGTAGTATGTAGTATTTTGACTTCCATACAAATTACTAAATCACTATAACTATACCTATAGCTAATGACCAAAAGAGCAAAATATATTTCATCTATAGGGTCAATGGAGACTGTAACGAGATACCAAAAATAAAAAGTTATTGAGAAATAAGAATAGCAATTCAGGGGCTCAATGGTCCTTTAATGTATCAACTTTTAAAAATCCGCATTTGGTCTGTTACATTCTGCTATGTAATGCTAGTATATTAACTAAAATATTTTCGTCAATTTGTGTTCTTAACTATTAATATCATGCCATGCATATCCGTGAAAATCTGTTACACAAATATTGCCAGACTAAGTGTACAATAAATTGACATTCATTGTATTTAGTGCTAGTAATAAACGATAAAGTTAAAATATTTCTCCACAAATTTCAACATGAAACGCTTAATATTTTATTAAAGGATTTACTACTCTATATTTGACCATGCACTATTTTACAAATATACGGGCGATTCGTTTGGTACTTAATATATTTGTCCGGCTTTTCTTTGTATGTTTACAGAATGACAAACACAGGGAAGCTATTATGCGGTATTAAAAAAACGAGCAAAATCAGTTCATGTTAGGTCAAATAATTTTAATAGGCGTGTGTCCTTACACGGTTATAATATCAGCTATAATATTTTGGCAGGTTATATGGCCCTATATAAACGATTATATAACAACAAACCGTGTATATACGGTCATATAACCTGCCAGGAATATTTAAAACGACTTTGTCATTGTAATTACAAATTTATATTGTTACTGCCTTTGTTATTGTTATCATCATTGTTACTGTTACTGACTTTGTCATTGTTATTACAAATTTATATTGTTACTGCCTTTTCTAAAGTTATCATCATTGTAATTGTTTCTGAATTTGTCATTGTTATTATAAATTGATATTGTTACTGCCCTTGTTATTGTTATCATCAATGTTATTGCAAATGACTTCGTCCATGTAATTACAAATTTATATTGTTACTGCCTTTGTTATTGTTATCATCATTATCATTGTAACTGACTTTGTCATTGTTATTACAATTTTATATTATTACTTTCTTTGTTATTGTTATCATCATTGTTATTGTTACTGACTTTGTCATTGTTATTACAAATTTATATTGTTACTGCCTTTGTTATTGTTATCATCATTGTTATTGTAACTGACTTTGTCATTGTTATTACAAATTTATATTGTTACTGCCTTTGTTATTGTTATCATCATTGTTATTGTAACTGACTTTGTCATTGTTATTACAAATTTATATTGTTACTGCCTTTGTTATTGTTATCATCATTGTTATTGTAACTGACTTTGTCATTGTTATTACAAATTTATATTGTTTCTGCCTTTTCTAAAGTTATCATCATTGTAATTGTTACTGAATTTGTCATTGTTATTATAAATTGATATTGTTACTGCCCTTGTTATTGTTATCATCAATGTTATTGCAAATGACTTCGTCCATGTAATTACAAATTTATATTGTTACTGCCTTTGTTATTGTTATCATTATTATCATTGTAACTGACTTTGTCATTGTTATTACAATTTTATATTATTACTTTCTTTGTTATTGTTATCATCATTGTTATTGTAGCTGACTTTGTCATTATTATTACAAATTTATATTGTTACTGCCTTTGTTATTGTTATCATCATTGTTATTGTTACTGACTTTGTCATTGTTATTACAAATTTATATTGTTCCTGCCTTTTCTAAAGTTATCATCATTGTAATTGTTACTGAATTTGTCATTGTTATTATAAATTGATATTGTTACTGCCCTTGTTATTGTTATCATCAATGTTATTGCAAATGACTTCGTCCATGTAATTACAAATTTATATTGTTACTGCCTTTGTTATTGTTATCATCATTATCATTGTAACTGACTTTGTCATTGTTATTACAATTTTATATTATTACTTTCTTTGTTATTGTTATCATCAATGTCGTTATTACTGACTTTGTCATTGTTATTACAAATATATATTGTTACTGCCTTTTTTATTGTTATCATCATGTTACTGACTTTGTCATTGTTATTACAAATTTATATTGTTACTTCCTTTGTTATTGTTATCATCATTGTTATTGGAACTGACTTTGTCATTGTTTTTACAAAATTATATTGTTACTGCCTTTGTCTTTGTTATCATCATTGTAATTGTAACTGACTTTATCATTGTTATAACAAATTTATATTGTTACTTCCTTTGTTATTGCTATCATCATTGTTATTGGAACTGACTTTGTCATTGTTATTACAAATTTATATTGTTACTTCCTTTGTTATTGTTATCATCAATGCTATTATTACTGACTTTGTCATTGTTATTACAAATTTATATTGTTACTGCCTTTGTTATTGTTATCATCAATGTTATTGTTACTGACTTTGTCATTGTTATTACAAATTTATATTGTTACTGCCTTTGTTATTGTTATCATCATTGTTATTGTAACTGACTTTGTCATTGTTATTACTAATTTATATTGTTACTGCCTTTGTTATTGTTATCATCATTGTTATTGTAACTGCCTTGTCATTGTTATTACTAATTTATATTGTTACTGCCTTTGTTATTGTTATCATCATTGTTATTGTAACTGCCTTGTCATTGTTATTACTAATTTATATTGTTTCTGCCTTGTTAAAGATATCATTATTTTATTGTTTTGTTATGATTGCTATTGTTATTAGTATTTCTGTTGTTCGTGCTATTGCCATTGTTCATTATTAATTATTGTTGATATTGTTATTATTGTCATAGCTGTTATTACGTGCAAATCACTAAATTTATCGAAATATTTGGTTGTGTGTTATTAAAGGATCTGAATTATACATTGATATATGATAGATAATACATAATTTGAACATTTTGACAGTATTTCTGCAAAGAAAGAAATTTTACGAAAATCAACATATGACAGTATTTCTTTTCTTTGATTTGTTTCTCTACAAAAAAAGACTTGTACAGAGTAAGCCCAGTTTTTTATCCGTTCTTTTTTCCCAACATATTTAATTGATGCCCTAAATGTCAGCAAATGGCGCGGTATCGCATGACATTTAATTGCTTTAATGTCGGAATGATTCATTATAAATATAGCAAGGTTATTAAACGGATGTCAGGTGCAAATGGCATGTTTTTAAAAGTACCTCACTACCACATGAGAGTCTCCCAAAATATATGTAAACATCGATTTATTATTAATAAACAGTTGTATTTTATAAAAGAAATATACGAAGGTTTGAACTTATAAATGAATGGCTTATTAATGCCTGAAAACATGAACACGAATTTAAGATATTAGATCGAATATGAAGATGTTTTATTGGTGCATTTAGATATTAAATATTGAAATATTTCAGTTAAATTTTAGGCATGTATATTCTATAATTCAATGTGTTACATTTAAAAAGTAAAGAATTTAGTTGGAAGTAAATACACTTTAACGATACTTTATAAAAACGACATTTTTAGTACTTTTATAAATAGCGTACTCAAAAACATATAAAATGGTCGTATATAGAAGTCGTCATATTGATAAAGAGACCAGTTTTCGCCTCTTAAATAAATCTGCCATGTTCAAGAAGCATTTATGAAAATAATATATGGCATAGTAGCACCGCTTTATGGCCTCTTCAAATTTTTATGATTATTATTTTACCCATTTTAGTGATTGACAGTTCGGTTAGATAGTTAATTGAGCTATTTTTACATTGACAAGTAATATGCGACAATTTTAGAATTCTATACCTTTGTGTACGGACTTGCTAGTGTATAGGGAAATTTAAACGTGATCGCCAAACTACGTCAGCATGTCTATTTAATATGTCAATCTGTAATCTAATGCATATGAACGCTAAATGGTCCTGAGATATGATCGCCTGTGTTATATGCACATTATAAGCAAAGTTCAGGAGTAGCTAATATGTATGCATATCTAATGTGTAGGCTTATGAAATGTGTACATGTATAACGCACGTGTCTATTTAATGCATATCTCTACATGTATGTGGAGGTGAACGTCTATAAATAACGTATGTATGTGAATTTCAGTATTATATGTACATGTATATTTATGCAACGCCAATGTCCGTGTTGTATCTACGTACATGTATATCAAATTTGTACAATTATGTGAAAAATATGTGTATGACACATATTTTTACACGTACATGCCATAAGTCCAGTGAAAACAATCTCTAATTAGGAAGGTTCTGGACCAAGCTTTTGTGCTGTGAAAAGGACAACATTGGATTTCTATTGAACCTAAACATTTATTGGATATATGATGTGAATTTATCTAATATACACTTTTTTGTGATTCTTATGTCTATAAATATTTATAATACTGCACGTTTGTTACTTCGCATATAACCTGTCAAAAAATCTTTATAATAAAATGTGAAATGTTAACTTTTGTGTAATACGATAATTATGTCAATAGGCATGAAACTGTAGTTTTGTAATGTATGATCGTTTTCATAAGAAAACTGTGCATATGCATCTATGTTATGTTTTTTGCCGACAATTTCTGTAGTACAAATGTGTTTTTTCACCCCATTTAATGTGTTATCTTTAAGCCCTCCTTTGCAGACAACTTTATGTTCTGTTGATAACTTAATTACATTTTAGGCAAAGTGACTGAAAATTATCATCCTAGTTAATTTTTGAGCGAATAGTAGACACAAGATCGCGTAGAAATACTTTTAATAACGGCAAGTCAGTACGTAATTCAAATTAATAGGATGGTAAAACAGGTGCCTATTCCTGATAGACTTTTTATACACGACGGTGTTGCTTTTTTCATGTGAAAACTCTCGTTTGATAATTAGACATTTAAAAAACGACCAGTTTATCAAAACAACTGAATAGGAATGAGCTTTAACTGTGATTTCTGGCTGTAATGGATCTATGCATGTTTTGTATGTGTTCGATTAAAAAGTGACTAAGAATACAGTATACATAATACTATAAATAAAATACATTTAAAGTACCTTGGAAAATATGTTGTTTTTATTTATCTACAAATAAAAACAAAGGTTTATAATCTGTACTTTTACGAAAAGTGAAGAAAAAACACACATACCATCGCTTTACTGGTATTAAAATTAAACGCATGTGTTTTGCGACAAATAAAAAACAACGTATACTGTCAAAAGTTAAAAGGCAAAAATACAGACAAACAGACTTGAAGGCTACGGCGATGTAATTTGGTACAAATGTGCGTGCAAAACAAAGAAATATTTGCTACAGATACTATTTCCATATCAAGCGCAAAATACAACAATAAGGGACATATTTCAAGCCTAAGTGTTTTAAAACGCGGATTATACCACGGTATGTTATATTTACTTTTCGAGTTGTATTAAAAGCTCAATTATTAAAAAATAATACACCGCTAACATTGGATTATAATTCTTCCAGTCATTAAATGGATGATTTATTACAATGTTAAATTTGAAATAAAGGGTGTTTTATTACTTGTAAGTTTTAACAAATCGATTGAGTTTTGCTTTATACGATGTGTCATTTCGGATTTAACGAAGAGTTTCGGGTAAATATATATTTTGTGTATTCAAGGTAACGTGTCGCTACATTTAACTAATATGTTTAATAGCTTAAAAATCACAACAGTAAAATTATCTTTTTTAACAAGACACTCGAATTTAATGAAAAGTCATTCTTATGAAATCATATGATTTTTCAAAAGCGTGACTAACGTTTTTTAAAGACTTTTCCGTATTCGCTAAATATATTTAGTTTTGTTTTACACACGTCGATCAGTTCACGAAAGGAACAGACAATTCCACGCTTTTGCATAATATCTACCGTGAATGTAGTCTCAATATTTCGACGGCAAGACAGACCGATTTTATAATCTGATATTTCATAGATGTCTGTCTTTACGAAGGGCGACCATCGTCTATATAAAAAAGCCCTAAAGCGCACAATTTGTAGTCTACCGTGAATGAACCAACCTTCTTGTAAGGGTGGCGGTACTCGAGCTTCCACTTGCCCCTTTTCTTCTTATTATTATACCAGTACATGCACACTTGATATGTTATAATAGAATAACCTACCCATTATAAATCGAAATGGTTAAGCTTCAGAAATATATCAGATACAGCACTGTTACGGCGCTTTAGATTGGCTAATCGACATGGTCATAATAGTTCGGGTTATATACTTAGTATACAAAACACCGTTTATATAGGGCCATATATAACCTGTCAATAATTTTTATAACTAATACATGTATTATTAAATAACGAGACCCATAAATGTGTGATTACTGACAGGGCTGATATGTTATTGTGATGAGCTTAACATAAAAAACAATGGTATGAGTAGAATGTTAAAATATCAATGTTTAACTACCAATGGTTTGTTATCGCACTTTTGCTATGTATTATAGTCTATCGATGTTTTACTGCCAATGGTTTGTTATCGAACTTTTGCTATGTATTATAGTCTATCAATGTTTTACTGCCAATGGTTTGTTATCGAACTTTTGCTGTGTATTATAGTCTATCGGTGTCTTACTGCCAATAGTTAGTTATCGAATTTTTGCTGTGTATTATAGTCTATCAATGTTTCGATGCCAATGGTTTGTTATCGAAATTTTGCTTTGCATTATAGTCTATCGTGTTTTACTGCCATGGTTTGTTATCGGACTTTTGCTATAGATTATATAATAGTCTATCGGTGTTTTACTGCCAATGGTTTGTTATCGAACTTTTGATATGTATTATAGTCTATCAATGTTTTACTGCCAATGGTTTGTTATCGGACTTTTGCTATGTATTATAGCCTATCGGTGTTTTACTGCCAATGGTTTGTTATCGAACTTTTGCTATGTATTATAGTCTATCAATGTTTTGATGCCAATGGTTTGTTATCGGACTTTTGCTATGTATTATAGTCTATCGGTGTTTTACTGCCAATGGTTTGTTACCGAACGTTTGCTATGTATTATAGTATATCTATGTTTTACTGCCAATGGTTTGTTATCGAACGTTTGCTATGTATTATAGTCTATCAATGTTTTACTGCCAATGGTTTGTTACCGAACGTTTGCTATGTATTATAGTCTATCAATGTTTTGATGCCAATGGTTTGTTATTAATTATGTTTTTCGATATGTTGCTGCTAACGGCTTGTCTCAAATGTTGCGCTGCAAATCGATTACTTTCGCGTATTAAGAACAATGGTTGAATATCCATGAATATTTTGTGTTTATAGGAAACTTTAAATTAAAATGTAGGAATATTATGTACTTGTAATTTATAATTTGTGATTTGGCGTATTAGAGGTACATTCTATAATCCTTTTATTACACTATAGTTTTATATAGAAATTCCGTTAATTGTAAATAAATTACAATTAAATATACCACGGATTTAAGATCAGTGAATATACTTAAATAATAAATGTACTTATATATTTACAATTCTGTTGTCATGCGTTGTACGAAATGAACACTAACGTGAGATTTATAGGGTGATAATTTTTTGTTTATCATAATTAACTTTCTTAAATCCCATTTTAGTGGAAAATCGAACAAGCTTTAAATGTTTAAGTATAACGTACAAAAGACAACTTCATCTGTGCAGAAAAGAAATGCTTGCTCTTTCATTATATTAAGAAACTAGTTTGCAAATGCCCATTTCTCATTAATGTACCAGAATTAAAAACTTTTTTCTAGAGTACATATTGTTTTGTAATGAAAATATACATTTTTTTGTGTTTAGATAAATGTGCTGACGGTAACGATATGAGCCGCGTCACGACAAAACCAACATAATGGGTTTACGACCAGCATGGATCCAGACCAGCCTCCGCGCAGCCTGATCAGGATCCATGCTGTTGGCTTACAAACCCTATTACAAGTAGAGAAACTGATAGCGAACAGCATGGATCCTGACCAGACTGCGCGAATGCGCAGGCTGGTCTGGATCCATGCTGGTCGCAAACGCATTACGTTGGTTTTGTCGTGACGCGGCTCATATGTTCTGTATTTCATATAATTTACCTTAACTACGCTATATATCTAAATGGATCTGTCCCTCTTTTAAAGCAGCATGCCTCCAGTCGAGCGAAAATATTTCAATTAATTAAACTTGAGAAAAATGTACTAAGATTTTAGGAAAAGTAGAAATAGTCAAGATTCAAGTAATAATTTACATGTTATTAGCGACTAATAGCGAGTTTTTCATTATGTGTAACTTTAATTCTACTGCGTTACTAACGCAGTAAGGACATATTTTGCATATTTTGACCTCTTTTTTGTAATTAATGTGGGTTGTAAATGTCATTGATAATGTGTAAATTGCTTTCTTTAGTTTACTTAACAATATTATACATTTAATTTCATTTTCAAAATTTTCATGGAAATAAGTATACATCTGGAGGCTGGCTGCTTTAATCTGTACAAACTCGTACTGACTGAATAGCAAACAATGCAGACCACAAACAGACGGCACGGATTTCATTTTTCAAGCTGATCTTGGTCTGTGGTGGTAGTATTGGTAGTTTCCCCTGCGGATCACGGCAGTAAGCCACAGCCACATTGAATTTACCAGAGAGAACAGTTCAACCGGGCAGGCTGTCAAACAGTTTACCAGTACTAGTTGCCTTCACTTTTGAAAGGAACTGATTAAATTCTGTACATGCCAGAGCAGGGATACAGAGCGAATATCTGTAGAAAAGATTTTATGATCACAATGAAAGAGACCTTTACTCTCAGGGAATCGAACTCGGTCGCCCGATTCACGGCCCAACGCTCTACCTAGATCTTGGTCTGTTGTAATTAAATGAGTATATATAATATATTCCGCCAACAAGCTAAAGCGGCGGCTGAACTGTGCTCGGGTAAATTCAGTGTGGCTTACTGTCGTGATCTGGGGGTGAAAACTACCACCACCACTACCACCACTACCACCATACCACCACCAGCACCACCGGGCTAATGGTTAATGAATACGGTATTACAAAAGTATACAAAAACAAGGAAATTTAGACCTATGTATTAAACTATCTATGCACTTTGTAATGATTATGATGAAAGTTTCTCATTTTAGTTTGTAGATGTCCTGAACGGAACAAAATTTATTACAATGTCATGTACCAGTAGGAACTATGAATATTTTTGACAGGAGCACGTACTCTCAGTGCCTTGAGGTGAAGATGGACCCTCATTAAGCACATATAATCAATATGTTTGGCATTTTAGTTGATCACTTAATTAAATGACCAACTAAAATATACTTATTCACCAAAATACATTGTATATATAAACTATTACATGATACAATGCGTCTTTTGTTCGTTTTTCTAAAATGTCTTCTTCTTTTTTTCTAGCATCATTTTCTGTGATATCTTTCATAAGAGAGTTCACATTTTACCCCGGTGGTTTTTGCATGGCAGATTGTTGCATATTGTAATTGAGAGATTACCCAGGTGTCTATTTTCAAGTGATATTTACAAACAGAAGTCGGAAAGTTTGTTGAATTTGAAGTTATACATCTCACTTAATGTACTCAAAATGTCAGACTAATCACAACAATTTACATAGCAAAATGAGGTATCGCCATTTTCACGTGCCAAATAACAGGTACTTAATGTTAGATCCTCGCTGGCACTATCTCGTTCACTGCAGAGGTCAAGTTATAGGTCGCGCTTCTGTTAAAGTTAAGATTAAAGAAGATCACGCTTTTAGTAGATACGCCATGATAGAGTGCCACGGTGTATCATCGGCGACCGGAAGAGTCCAAGGGTACTAGATTCTACCATTCTAACATTATGCTACTTGGCTTATATTAGTAATGAAATGCTAATTGGTGGTTAAAAGATTTTAAACCCAGAGCTACTTGGTGCCCCCATATGCTTCTTTGAGGCAATATAAATGGTCCATCTTTGGACAAAACCAATCATTATTTTAGGGATCATTTTCAAAACAAATGTTGTCTGAATATCGAACAGTGCAAACCATGCATGATCAGACGACACTGACGCGCCGGCTGATCTTGGTCTGCACTGATCGCATGGTTCGACTCTGTTTTCGCAAGCAAGGTAATGGGTCAGAACTGTATAGTTATGTAAGTGTGAAATATATATATTTTAAACACTATACAAAATTCAAAGGAACTTTAAAAGTTGGAGACTTGAAAATATGTAACACTTCTACATTAACTAGGTCAGTTTTGATCAGTTTTGCTAAATCGTGGTTTCCTAGATACATTTTCTTTGAGCATGCATTTTTCTTATTACAAAATCAACTTGGCATTAACAGGCGTTTATTTTTCGTAACGTTGTTTATTTGTCCAAGAGTTTTGGTT